ATACCACCACATGCCCACATAGATGTATGGGCTCATCAATTCAGATGCAGTACTTCATGTCTCGTTATACCTGATGTTTTCAAAATGACTGCTGCTTTTACTGTTAACTTAATGGTAGCAATTTAACAGTTCTGCTATTATAGCTCAAATATACAGTGATATGGATATCATCTGACGTGGTAAAATGTGTTTGTATGACTGTAATAAAAGCCAGACAATTTGCTTCTAAATGCAGGAATTTACATTACGTCAAATGAAGGCAGTTTGCTAAGAGTCCCACGTGTATGATGTGGCTAGACCTCACATAAATGTGTCATCTCTGCCAGTGTTTTAGTTCTGTAATCAGTGATTGGTTGATAAACTATGACACAATTCACCCCCATTGAGAGGTGTGTGTCATTGTTTGACCTTGCGGCCTTGTAGACTGGAGTATTTCCGCTATAGTACTGTCCTTTGTACATAGTCAAAGTCCCTTATTCTTTGACTATGTATATGTACAGTATGTACAGTATTATTTTGAACTTAAATGTTTTATTCCTTCAAAACTTTTCTTTATTTCTTTTCTTGTTAGCCTTACCCAGTTTAACCTGAAATATCAGACTACAAGAGAAACACTTTGCCCTTGTCCCTTATTTTTGAAAAAACTGAGAAAACGTAAAATTTGTGTGTCCCTGCAAAACCTGCAATCATTCTCAAGGGCAAGGCCCCTGTGGTCATTACCTCATACCTGATGACACCCACCTGTTACAGATAGCCTAATGGTGTAGGAAGGAGAGACACCTGTTAATCTTTCTGACATAACTTACTATAATCTTGGTAACTTTCCAGGGCAAGTTATTGACAAATGCCATATTTATCCCTCATGCTAGATGCAGTGCGTATTTCATGTTATGCAAAAGTGAAGAAGTATCTTGTATACAATTCCACATATGAATTGATAGACATGCTGTTTACATCTTTTCCCTCAGAAAATATATAATAGATGTCCTGCTAGTAGTGTTAGAACATGCAAGAAATTCCAAGCAAGGGAAAGAAACAGAAAATACAGTGCAAAGTTCTTTTCACTTCTTCCCCCAAGTTTGTAAAGATGGCTTCCACATGTTGACTAATCAGTACAAATAGTGGCACCATGGGACAGGGTGTACCTTACATGGGATGGACACCACTGATAAGGAGGTCATCAGGTCACATCCCCTGGGACACACCCCTCTGACTGGGACATGTGTAGATCAATGACTGCAACTGCCCCTAACAACATACCCTGTTGTTACCAAGGCAAGTGCAGAAAAGAAGAAAATTATACAAATACAGCAGCACTGGTTGTAACTAGTCAAATCCGTCCAAGAAAACCTGATGATAACTCTGGAACATCTGGTTGCTTAGTTGGTTATGTGTTATTGCAGCCATGATTCAGTGTTTCTTGTGATATAGTGCCACACATTATCAAATTGATGGTCCTGTAGTCTTGATAATAGCAAACAAAAATCTCATTTATACCGAATAATCAGAGATACTGTACATCAATAAGTCCGAAACAGCCACGTTTTGATTGATCCTCAGCAAGTTAAAAGCTTCTCTCTGATTGGTCCAAAGTTTTGATGAAGCTAACATTTGACTGACAGGCTTCCACAGAGAAAAATAGGTCAGAGCCATTCTGAGTGAAAAATCGGTGACATCAAGATGCTTTTAGGGGTTTTAACACCTCCGAGTATATCTGGTATCCAGTCGGCTGGATCTATCAGTCCTTCCAGGCACCATTACAGCCCACTCACTCCTAACCGTGATAAGACGTCAGATATCACAGAATTCTGTATTACTACCTCTTCTATTTCTAATAAATTACCTGCACCTCTGTCCTACTTCTTCTTGGTCCATCCTTCAAGAAGTAGAAGACTGGCATTCGTTGCCTCAAACAAAATGTAGTTATATCCAAGAAGGCTTGACAATCTTCCATTAAGTGATAAAAGAATATTGGCATAGGCTGTTTCTTTTATGCAGTGGTACTTGCAGTGTACATGTATGTGAATATGGTATTATTGCATGTAATTGTTCTTGTAAAGAGTAGTGGATCTGGCAACCACACTGGCCCTCTTCCCCCTGCAAGTTCACTACACATTAAATTTTGATTCAATCATCTTCAGTATTAGAAATTCTTCTGCTGTTGCCTCCACGAAGCTTGTTCACTGCACCCTAGCTCTCCTGTTGATACCCAAGCAAACTTTCTTCAGACCAAGTAGGGGCACCACATTTGCACTTGGATAAACAGTTCATGACATGTTTTTGGTGTAATGGTTTCAACTGTGGTACAACCAGCGTTCCTAGTTATTGGGACACCCAGTAAGAGTAATGGGCAGGGGTGCCCTTCTAATGGCTTACATGTGTTGAAGAGGTGGTGTACACATGGGGAGGGTCTGGCCCACTGACATGGCTCAAAATGTGATAAAAACATTGAGGTGTGAGCTTCTACCATAATCCAAAGGACACCTGGGCTTTCAAGCATGATCCAGTGGATAGAACCATGCACTAGCAACTTCATATACTTTAGGGCAATGATTTATGGCTAAATTTTTGATAACAATTAATGATTATTAATAACAATTTCAAATTACTTGAATGATTTAATTGATATTGTTACAAGTTAAAAAAAAATCCCTCGCTGTGACTTGGAATGGATTCTATACGTATTTATCCTTTTTTCCCCTTTCTTTCAAAAAGGTACATGTAACCACATTAGGTCGGTTAGAGCTGGAAAATTTGATTAGTATAGCGGCTAAGCCTGACCTGGAAAAGTTAATTTTACAACACATAATTGGTTCCACAGATAACGTTTCTCTAGTTTGTGGGTCATCTGTCTGAGCCAGTTTGTCAGGTGAGATTAGTGGTGGCTGGTAAGTGGTGGGATGATCCCAGGGCTGTGGAGAGTCCTGCTGAGTGCAGTGGTACATGTAGATGTGACATCAGACTTCTGACATCAGACTTCTGACGTCAGAATTCTGATGTCATTCTCCATCATCCTCCTCTCTGGGGATGGTATGAATGGTAAAACTGGCCAAACTGGGGCAAAGCACATATCACAACACACAGCCAGTCACTATGTTATTCCCAACCATGTAACACCCATGTGTGCATTGTACAATCATGATTTTGTACATACTTTTCTGGCTGTATCAGAGAATTGACCCAAGTGTAGCCAGTTTCTGTTATTGTTATTACCCATAGAGGAGTCTGGGAGAGAGTACTAGAGCCTAATGTGATATCAATAATCTTCCTTAGTTTGCCTAACTATATGATCAAAGTTTTGCTGGTTTGAAATAACTGTTCAGGTAACACTACAGGATACATACTGAGCCTAATATCCATCCACGAACACTATACCCTGTATATATCGGTTCTACCTATTAGTAAATAAGCTCCTACTTTCAGAAAGAGCAGGCATGACAAGATGTAAGAATAACTTATAATTATAATAACAGTAATACTGACGGTGCCAGACAGTGACACTGCTCCTGGTCTGAGACAAAAGGTTACGTCTTAGACTTGCAAATCAACTTAAATGCACTATGAGGTACATGTTATATAATTACTTAGGCAGTATTACACCAGTTTAGTTAGCCTTTATCTACAATCATGTCTTCAGATACTCTCTCTTTAGTCTCTAATGGTTTGGACTGTCTGTCACTCCTGGCAATTATGGGTTTTATCTTGTACATGCATGAGACAGAATGTCTGATGAAAATAATAAATCCTTACAGTTTGCAGTATCCTGACATGTTTAAATGCATGTACATGAATGATCAGTTAAAAACTCTGTGATCTCTCTCTTTCCCTCCCTCCCCCTCTCTCTCTCTTCTCTGTCACTCTCTATAAAACCTACATTCAAATTGAAATCTAAGGGAACCTCCAGCTTTTTGTGTTGTGTCTCAGTTATGCAAAAATTGCTAATATAATGAGAAGTGAACAGTTGTATTCCTACAACTTCATAGCTAAAACCTATCAGGAAAAGATTTGGTGACAAAGGATTTTCCACAATGGAAGTGGTGGGTGGCCTTAAGTACTTCCGAGAGAGTAGAGACAGCCTGGCAACCATTGGTAGTGCCACTAAATATAAAAGTGCTATTGGGATGTTTTGTATACCGTCAGAGATATGGGAAAAGTACCTTTGATTAAAGGGATGCAATACAGCAAGTCATTAAGGAAAGGGAGTAAGTACCTTACTCTAAATCCAAAAGCAAAATTACAGCAAGCAAAGCAAAAGTGTTGATATCTTGTGTTTTAGACCATTTTCCTGGGGCTTATTTACAAATTCTGTTTCCATTTCTGTCCAACTGTGTTTCCTTGGAATGCTCCCATTTTTTGCCCAGAAAGGCCTAGTTTTACGGGTCAATTTACAATCTATAGGTGACTGAATCCTAGCAGGAAAGAAAGAACCATGGTAAAAGCCATTAAACAACTAAAAGCAGCTGCTATATGTAGAGCTGCTGTGAAGAATCATAATAGGCATTGGCTCTAATCAGCCACTTTATATGAGGGGATCTATCTTTGTCCTCAGTGCCCTGTCGGGGTATTTGGTTGTTAATGGTGCCTGACTAAAGATGTTCAATGGACCTAACAATTACACTGTTATCACACTGGTATTATCATGGGTACTCCATCTAGAGAGAGATGGACCAGCCTTCTACGCATGCCAGGGTACCAAATCTCTCTTCAATGCAAGATTTTCAAGATCGTCGAGCTTTTTTTTTGTTCCTTATGAATAATTGTCATGCATGATAAGTAGTAAAAAACCAAGCAGAATCGCATGAAATATGTGAAATGTTATTCAGCACCCCTGCCCACATTTCATGTCTTTACAACACATATTGCCTGGAAGACACTAAAAGTGTATTTTCTACAAGATTTGGTCAAATTTCGAAGCCTGTGTTTTCATATGATTAAATATGATACTATGGAACCTGATGCAGTGTTTGATAGTTGAACTGACACTATTTTTTTTTCTCCAGTTTGCATCGGGACTGACAACAAGTTGAGTACAGTTGGAGAACCCACCCACCATTACGCCTTGCTGAAAAGCCTCTACACCAACTGTACCTACGTGGACGGCAACCTAGAACTGGTGCAAATCGAGGGAATGGACAGAGATCTCAGCTTCCTAAAGGTGGGAGGAGTCCCCATGTCCAAAATCAACTGAAATTGAATTGAATTGTTGTTATAAGCCATCGGTGATTGGTATGATATCACCATAGAAAATTCCATAGCTTATTCATCATAGTACAGTTTCTTCTTGACTTTTTACCTCCGGGGAAGGAGATATCCTTCCGCGAGGAGGTTTTACTATTGTTCGAAACATTTCTGTCAGCAGCTGTTTCTCGCGATCGGCTGGACGGATTGGTCTGTGGTTCGGTATACGTATTGCTGTTGGGCTGCAGATGATGCAGAACGTTTTTGTTTAATTGTATATGTGTTTATGGGCGTGGAAATAAAAGGTTTTTAAGTGCTCCGGACACCCCCGCCATGCTGAAAATGGAATTTACCATGTTGTTAAGGAATGGGGAGGTTTCAGTTTTGGGTCTTACCATTTAAAAGGGGTCAAGCAGAGGGGTGTCTGCTTCCGATATGTATTTTGAAATATTATCGCAGTTGTATCTCGCGTTGGGGTAGACTGGACTCGGTGTATGTTCTTCTAATGGGCTGTAGATGGTGCAGGTTTTTTTGTTTTTATTGTATATGTGTTTTGGGGCGTAAAAATCTGAAAATCGTCGCGCGCGGCGCTGGGCTGGCTGCCAGCGCAACTTCCGGGTGGGCCAATGGGTCAGGGGTCAACGCCCTCTTGCGCAATCTTGGATGTTTTCGGCGTATAGTACGACTTGTATACTGTCTCAGACGTTCTCGACATGCATTTTTACCGTGGGTACATGGTATGGGCTGCAGATGAAAATGTTGACCAGTCCAGGAACGCTAAATCTAACACATGAAATTCAACACCATCAACTATACAGAACAAACAACATGGAAAAATATACAATAAAAAGCCCGGAGGTATAAAATCTCAGATTTTACTTTTTCATGTTATTAGCATGTCTGCTGCAGTACTATCTTTGTCTGCTAGGTGGCACTGCAGATAAATGTATTGGAAAAAAGGAAGAGCTAAGGAAATAAAGGGGGAATATTCTGCATTTGCTTGTAAATCATACTAAATGTTAACTTTATAGTCTGAAGGTAAAGGTTAACCACCAGTGGTAAAATTCTATGTTTAACTGTATTTTCATCTTCACAGTCATGACTTCATCATCAACCTGTCATCATCATCATCATTGTCAGCATCACTGCATCAGCCAATCAGAAAGCATATCATTGTATCAATAGCCTTCATAGCAGGATCAAAGCAGCATTTACAAATTGTTGTTCTTTTTTTTAAATGTTACGTCCATGTGCTGATCTCTGATTGCTGTCTGTGCTACTTTTGTTATTTTGGGGAGGGCAACATAACCACTTTGCACTACCAGTATGTAATGTTCAGTGAGTAGGAAGGACAATTGAAAACATGACCAGTTTGCTTTCATTTTCTAGTCTATACATGTGAAATGGCAGTCATTGTGCAATCAGACAACAGTACATGCATGTAGTACACCCCAAAAGATGACAATATCATTATGGAAAGTGCTGGCCTCAATCCTGCTATGTAGACTAGGACAAGTCTAACTGCACCTCTCTCTACATACACCAGGATATCAGGGAAGTAACCGGATATGTCCTCTTAGCGTTGTCGGACATCAGCTACATTCCTCTCGATAACCTGCGAATCATTCGCGGGAAAGACTTGTACTACGGCAACGCTCTGTCGGTACAGTACAACTACAACAAGAACATAAAGACCTTGGGTCTACGCGAACTCCGCCTCAACTCTTTGGCAGGTAAGAAGGCATGGATATAGAGGAGCTATGACAAAACTGTGAAGATTGACACATGTTTTCCTCCTTTTTTTGTAGAGTATCACTGAAGTGACAGGCTATGTCCTGATAGCACTTTCTACAGTCGACTACATACCTCTTGACAATCTACGCATTATTCGAGGAAAAAGTTTATACCGTGGATCTGCTTTGTTTGTTTCCACCAACGTCGACATCAAGGTTTCAGTCGGGCTTAAAGAACTCAGATTTACAAAGCTTGCCGGTAAGGCAGTGTTCAACCAGTGGTACAGTGGTGGGCATGAAACTGGCTTGGTTGGTGGAAAAGGAATATTTAAGTAATTAGGGAAGCAGACCTTGAACAGAATTCCTACTGAAATCTGCATAAAGTTATATGTCCTAGCCTGTTAATCATATTCAATTGTAAAAGGAGAATATTTCAAATTACAGTAGATCTTAACATTTTCGTAAAAAGTTTTCAAAAATTTCAACTTGAATCTGTTGAAAAAAAAGTAGGGTTGAAAAAAATCTGAACATGTCTCAAGCTTGGTTTCTAGCTGATTCTGGAGCCATGTGAGCAATTCTTTCGAATTACATCCTGCATGGATACAGTCACCAAAACTAAAGCCCAGAAAAAATTGACAGCCTACATGTAGTTGTGTAGTTTACAGTAGGAAGGTGCATAAACTGTTGTACAAGGTCTGCAAATGGAAGTGGTGTCTGCTGCAAGTTTGGTTACAGGTTGCACTGACATGGAAGAGGGGGGTGGTGTGGTGAAACTATTTTTGTTGTCGAAAAAAGAAGCATCTCTTGAGATGATGTGACAAATGGAGTGATAAATGGTGGAATAAATGTCTAAACCTGCATGACAGCATTGAAGATTATAAATCATGGTGATGCTAGAGGGTTAACATGATGTTACAGACTTGAATTGTAAACTGTATGCCTTTCCCATGGCTCTTCCACCACCAGAAATCCTGAACGGAAATGTCACCTTCTTCAACAACCCACTTCTGTGCAATGAAGACACCATTGACTGGGAAGGGGACATCCTGGCTGAAGGATTCCATGTTGTATATGACACCAAAGAGAAGACAAGAGAATGTGAGTTCTTCTAGGGTTCATTACAGTTCTGTTTTGAGTGATTTCTAATGTTCAGTTACCAATTTGCCAAGATTAAGGAACTGTTTGCCAGTAACAAGCATATCAATCAATAGTTTGTGCTTATAAACCTGCATTTCTCCTCTGGTCTCTCAGTCACTGACCAAAGCTAGTGGATACTAGCTGAAACGTCTGACCGTTTCCAAAATCACATCCTTTTGCTTGAGTAACTGCTTTTTGGCGTATTGTATTACCTGGATCATGTCTAACCTTCATCGACATAAGGAACTATACATTGTACATGTATGTGCAGATACTTATTATAAGTATTAATGAACTTAATGTTTGTTTCTTGTACTGAGCAGGTCCAGCTTGTGAAGCCAGTTGTAATGGCCATTGTTGGGGAAGCAGGGAAGAAGATTGCCAGAGATGTAAGTAGCAGAACTTGATGTAGTCAAACTTTGAAACAAGCTTCAAGGTCTATTGAATGGAGCAGGGTGTTACTGACAAAAGGGAATGTTTACATCTAGAAAAGTTCACTTGAAATCAAGTCAGACTTTAGGGCATCAATGACAATATGACAACGTACTTGGTACATGTAGTTGATACTACACATTCCAATTCCATGCAGCAATTTTATTTATGTATATTAAACTACAAATAAACAGCTTGTAGGTGTTGCCTAAGAGATATGGGTGAAAATTTGCAGATCTTAAGGGTGCTTGTGCTGTACCAGTGCTGTGGACTTTGCATTTGATTTTGAAGTCCTTGTTGTTGTCATTTTGCAGTTACCAGAAGACGACCTGACTGCAGTGCACAGTGTGACTACAGGTGTCAAGGTCCCAACCCACAAGACTGCTGCCACAAGCAGTGTGCTGTCGGCTGTACCGGCCCACTGGCTACTGACTGCCTGGTAGGAACCTTACATTGCTAAAGTAAAGGGGACATCACACTACAAAAAACACTCATAAGAGTAACCATGACTAATGTCCTATGATTTTCTAACCAGTTGAAACTATTCACAGTTTACTTGTGACCCTTCGTAAACCTGTTTGCCCTTTTCTTTTAGGCCTGTCTCCACTTCAACAACTCTGGGAAGTGTGAGGAGTACTGCCCACCTCCCTTTATCTACGACAACAACCTGTTCCAGAATGTCCCCAACCCTGATGCCAAGTACACCTATGGATCCATGTGTGTGGACGAGTGTCCAAGTGAGTTTCAATCTACATTTACTCGCTGTCACCAAGTACAGTAGGGGCATTATCATTACATAGCTTTAAACAAGTTTTAGAGTTAGATGTTCAAGGGTTTGGTGTAATGTAGCCAGCTGCCGCCACACCGCGTGCATGCGAAGTTTAGTCGTGTTGGAAAAACAGTAATGTTGTGGTCCATGTACCTGTCCCTGGTGCTGAATTGGTAGCTTCTCTGAGAGGATTCAAAGTTCAAAGGCTGTAAAACAGCAGGTTAAACAGTCTTAAACTTTGTCCAGTCCAAACTGCTCTTGTAATCAATTTCATTAGACTTAAGCATTCTGAAAATGAAAGTTGCATTATTTTTGTGAGTAAAAACAATGTTCAACATTGGAGCAGGAGGATCCAAAACGAAGCCAGCTTGCTGTGCAGTGAAAAATGAGGTTACTTTGCAAAACTGTGCTGCGGCCGCTGCCCTAACTAGCCGTCTGCCAGACATGACTGAAGATCAATTTTCGACAGATTGCCATTAATTAGGGCATCAATCAAACGAGCACAGAGCCCTGCTGAATACTAAACTCCATGTGTAGGTCATTCTGACACTGTTCTTTGAACCTAGTTTTTGCATTTTTAAATGAGTCAGAGATACTCGAAGATACGTGAAATATAGCATACAGACATTCATGCTGATGATTACATTAAAATCATTTTCCAAAACAATATATACACCCTTGAATTCAAATGAATTCAAAGCCTTTGGTGCTGTATGTTCGTTGTACTGTCTATGTATTCAGCTGAGAACATTGCTATATTGAGTTAAATACATAATACCACTTCAGTCTACCATTAAATGTACATTGTACTGTGGATAAAAAAATAGTCTTGCGATATAAGACTTTATGGAGGTGCCCAGGAAAAATTGACATGTACATCCCTTGTGGAGTTTCCATTTTGATTAGTGCTGTTGGTCTGGTTGATAAGTCCGATTCCTCTACCTGATGAGTTCTTTCCCTTGTGGGCTAAAAAATCTATAACAGGCAGACGAACGTCCTGGAAGGTAACAACTTGTAATTTTGGAAAGAACGTCAGGAAGATTTGGCACATGGGTTAGTACTAAATGCCCATGACTGGACTTATTCCACACCCTTGCTGTAGTTGCCTAGTTTAATTAGTTTTGCCTCTGACAAAGTTACTTCAGGTTCATTATGGTGTGTTTTGGAACATGTGAATTTGATTTTCGTATAAAAAAAACTGTGCCATCCAATTTTACACAATGTAAGTTATACCGGTAGTCTTTCAGACTAACTTACTGATGATGATATGGTGAGAGCATACTGTTCCTCTGAGCTAGTTCAAACCATGTAAAGTAAATAGAAAGCTACATTTATTTCAGTTGTTACGTCACGAACAAAGCAGCTTATTTCCTTCCAGACACTTGTTTGAAGAAAGATAAGAAACATCACACAGGTACTCGTATTTCCCCAGAACTATCGTAGACTGGAACTCGTTGCCACCAAGCACAGTTGGGGCATCATCACTAGAAAGCTTTAAACAACTCCTGCAATCAAATGTGCAAAGATTGAGTGTAACAAGCCGTTCGGTGTGATGTAGCTAGATGCCGCCGCGCCGCGTGCCTGCGAAGCTAGTGTTACCCCGAAGGGCGGTTATACTGGCTATACGGATACAGATACAGCTACTGTTATCTTGGTTACCAAGCTTACATCCTTTCTATGATATTACAGCTCACTTGCTGCAGGACCGGGGAAGCTGCGTGAAGTCCTGTCCGCGAGGGAAAACTGACGACGGGAATCGAGTTTGCAAGGACTGTGTCGGGGCCTGTCCCAAGAGTAAGTCATCCTTGGTTTTGTATGGACTAATATTGGCTAATCTGTTACAATATCCATTGAAATATAGTCAAAGTCTGTTTGTCGAATTCTTGCCCTAAGCCCAATTCCAACAGGAAAAGGACAAACAAATAATGAAAGACTATTCTAGTCTGAAAGCTCTAAATTCTAACTTGTTGGGTTTGACATCTTTTTCTGAGATGTTTTGTGTTATGTGATATGGGACTGGAAAAACCATTAACATGAGTCTTCTTGCAATCACAGAATGCAGAGGATTCACCAAGTTTGAATACCCCAAAGCCGGTTCACCTATCGGTTACTCAGCATTAAATGTCGAAATCATGGAAAACTTCACCAACTGCACCATTATAGATGGGAGCTTGATCATCACAAGGCAGACATTTGAGGGGTAAGTTTGTGTTCTATTTTCTGAGGTAAGACTCAGTGTTAGTGAACATATAACCTGGGTGCCAGACCCATAGCACACTGGACACAAAGTATCTCGTACTCACTGAGATACTTTGTGTCCAGTGTGCTATGGGTCTGGCCCCCAGGCTAGTGAACATACTGAGTACCTACATGTACATGTAATACTAGCTCAGAAATGAACATTCAAGAAACAGTCATGAGCAGTGTTGAAATTTTTTTTCCTAAAGCTCTTAAATGCATCTGTAGCAGTGACACCTGTGCTGCAATGCAATGTGAACCAGTCAGAATTGCCATGAGGAAGGTGACAGGTGGTTACCGAAATGTCGGCTGAATAAAAAAAACTTGCTTGTGTAAAAAGAGTCTCTTTACTTGGTGTATTACCAACTTGATGAAACTATTGACGGAGCTACAATGTATAAAGATTCAGATACTGATACTGATTGTGAAGAGTTTCTGATACGCCTTCTTGTTTCAGTGACAGCTATATAGGATATGCTGGCATGTCACCGTCTATGCTGAGTGTGCTCAGCACAGTGGAGCAAATAACAGGCTACCTGCAGGTGGAGGGAATAAACAACGATTTCAGGGACCTTAACATGTTCCGCAACCTCAAGATCATCCAGGGCAGGGAGCTCTACAAGTAAGGAACTTGCCGTCCAAGTTTTCTGTCTGAATGACAAGCCTATGACTGTAGGCCACATCAGATGTGAAGTTGTTTGTACATGGTATAACTTTGGTACACAGTGACTACTAGCCCATTCAGAAGTCTACAACTGTTGCAGATTTTTTTCCAACTCCCAGCATACACCTTCTGTTGATAAAAGCTATTGACTATAATTTTGCTCCCTTGAAATAATGTAATTATATATTTATTTTTGTCATGTGCTAATGTATAAGCATTATTTGTTGCGAAAGTTTGTTTCACATGACTCTTTCTTGCATGTATTCTGTCACTCTTGAAACTTTCACAGTGCCTTAATATTCATGAATTGGCTTCTCCTCCTCAAATTCATGACACTGAATATGTGTGTATGACTGCTGTATTGTACATATACAACAGCCTGGTTTTATAAACCACTAATTTGAAACTCTGCTTGAACCTTCCTTTCCCTCTTACTGTGAAATTAAACAATCCCAGAAAAAAATGAAATCACACTGTATTGGGAGGCTGAAAAGGTGCATGTAAATTAAATGCTCTCGTTGACACCAATGTTGTCACCAGCATTGGTTAATCAGTCTGTGAGAAGTATATCTAGAAATTTAAATGGATTATAGGAGGAGGATAATCGTCTTGCAGCTAAGAAAGAACCCAACTGCATGGTTAATCAGTCTGTGAGAAGTATATCTAGAAATTTAAATGGATTATAGGAGGAGGATAATCGTCTTGAAGCTAAGAAATAACCCAACTGCATGTGGGGTTTTCAATTGTCAGTAATTTGAATGATATTAAGACCTAAATGTGACAGTGCTCCCCCTGTTGACTGAACCTGAAAATGCAGGTGAAATGAGCTGATGCCTCAATTGCGTCAAGTTTTGCTCCTAACAGGTTGATCCTTTTTGATAGTTGTACATAAAAAAAAATGTATCAGACTATGAAAATAATAACTTTTAACAATATGGAAAGAAACTGGAAAAATTGAATGTTTTGACATTTACTTAATCTGCTTTGTGTCTCAAGATGACACATGGTCATACTTGACATTGTTTAGCATCAACAAAATCATTCACAAAAGAAACTGCATCACAGAATCTTAGTAATAAAACTAAACCCCTCCCAGCAAAGAATTTAGCATCTCTGTAATGTTTAGACTCTGGAGCAGTACCAAATGCTGAATGCAAGAACAATGCATATGCATGTTGCAAGAGGCTTTCCTCCTTCACTTACATGTACCATTAACATTGTTAGCTCTGTGTAGTAATAACAGATTTGCTCATGGTCTAACATTGGTAATTTCTGCTTTTATTTGGAATGTGGTTTATGTACGTAACACAATGCAGAGGTCTAAGATTCTGTCACCATTCAAAACCTAAGGAAATAATTGTCATTTCCTTGACCACTGAAAATTATTTTCTTTGCTACTGTCATTGTTGTGTCTGGCAAAGAAGGAAAATGTGATCTGTTATTTCCAGATTATTGGTGTGTTGGAATCTTAGATCACTGCAACAGCTTTTGGTGCATCTTGCAAAGATTTCTGTTAATGTATGTGTTTATCATACCGCTGGTGTTTTTCCTCCACCCTTCTGTTCATTATTTGCACAACCTCAGGGATCCATATGCTGACAGGTGACACAGAGTGGTTTGCAGTGTGCACGAGCTTCTCTTTTCTTGTTATCTTCTTCTCTTTAATTTTATGTTCAGGGTTCATACATGTTTTCCACTTGTAAAAAGAAGGTAGAGAAGGGAGAAAACAATGTTGGTCTAAAAAGAATGGAATCATCTTTGGAAAAAAAAAAGTTATTATGTATGCTGGAAAATGCAAAAATGAGTTCCAAAAGTATTAGACGTATAGAATTGTAATATTTTATATGTACATGTATCATAACCAAAATTGCAATCATTGTATAGCTAATATGTATTGTATACTGCAGATTTCACTGTTAATTATCTGTCATTAAAAAATTTCCTAGAGTTTGAGTACAATTGTAAAACACAGTTAGAGGAGACATGTATGGGCTCTGAGACTTGCATGAAAACATTTAAACCAAACTACTATACATTTAGTCTCGATGAAAGCCATAAACAGACAGAAACCAGGCTTGAGCATTTGACATTCCCACTAAGCTCTGCCTCCCTCTTTTCCTGACATTTCTGCTCACTACTTCTGCGGCTTGTACTAATTACCTACCATTGCCTCAGCCCTGCATGCAACATTTCAATCCATTCATTTACAAACAACCGTTCAAATTTCATTCCAGGTCTCTCTCTGGAAATAGGTAGCGAAAAGTCCCTCTACCATTGACGAGCACCTAGCTAAGTAACGGTGTACTGTGCTCGTGACGTGTCGTGATAGTGCAGTCTTGTTTCATTTTCGTTTTGACTTGGTCGCCTTCATGTGGTCATTGTCATAATTTGTGGTGTAACTCAGCTTCGCACATGAAAAGCAATAAGAAGCAATATACAATGTAGTAGCAACATAGCTCAGTGTCTTTCCATCCTAGATTGTTGTTAAGAAAGGCTAGATATGGATTCCTTGGTTGTTGCCTGTGCTGTTTTGCACATACTTCCAGCACCATTATTAATGATTTTACTTTCTATTGCTTTTTATCATTTGCACATTTTGCTTTGTAGGATAACACCAATACACAGGAAAAAGTAAAAGCACCAAAAGGATTACAACTAAATACATTTTGAAACAAGCTTGAAGTACAGCCCGTATGTAAATGGGAACTCTAGCAGCAGTTCAAAAGAAACTTAGCCAAATCCTAACTGTCTCTAAAGGAATGACAGCACCTGGAATTCTAAAATGTGAATCGTAATGAATTCAAATTCAGCATTAAACTGCAGTTGGTACTGGACAAGCTACGTAGTACTTGTTCATGGAATCAACATTATTTGGATAAGCTACTATATGCTGTCATTGATATTGTGCATTAAAAGCATATCTTGTCCAGGTCTTTGAAGGTTAAATTATGTGTTATCTGTGCAATCATCATAATTCTTCTGTGGAATAATTCTAATATTGTCGCAAAATGTTTTATTCCGACAGTCAATTCTCACTGGTCATCTTCCAGTCGTCGCTGGAAAGTCTGGGCCTTACCTCTCTGCAGCAGGTAAACAATGGGAAGGTCAACATCCGGAAGAACAATGACCTGTGCTACAACGTGGACAATGCCGTCTGGCGCCGCATCCTGAAAGACCCTACAACTCAGGAGCTGCAGATCATCGGGAACAGAAACAAAACCATGTGTGGTAAGTCCTTCACCATTTTCAAAAATCATACTAAAGTAGCTTTCATAAATAACCCGACACATTCTTAATTTTTGTTTATGTATCCTTGTTTACTACTTTCATTACTACTTTTCATTATTGTAGATAGCATTGTATCGTATTGTACTTTATTGTTTTGTTTCATTTACCTGTTACCTAAGTTATTTCTTATTTATCCGATTTATTTGAATTGTTAATCACGTTATGAAGGGAGGCCTCCTCATGAGCATTTTATGCTTCCGGCCTCCCTGCACTGTTACATTTCATTTATATTTTCTTGTATTTGTATTGTTACATTTTGTTTTAAAGTGTGAAATAAACTGAACTGAAGTCATATTGTGTCATACATGTAGCGGGACCATGATAACATTTGATGCCCATATCACACAGGATTCTAGCAGTTATCACGCGACCTTCCAAAAGTTTCACTGGCTGCAGGTTTTTCATTGGCTGCTTTCAAAAATTCAAAATGCATGTACCGGATTCGGATACTGGAATTGGTGTTGTTAGAATTTTTGGTTTAGAGAAACCAACTATGTTTCCGTATTTTTCCCTTTCAGCTTTGGAAGGAAAGGTCTGCCCCGACCAGTGCACCTCTGACGGCTGTTGGGGCTTTGAAGCAAACCAGTGTATCAAGTGCGCCAATTTTGAGTTGGACGGGACGTGTGTGGAAAGCTGCGAGGCAACCACGCATTACTCGGACAACAAGCAGTGCCGCCCCTGCGACCCTGAGTGTGATGGCATGTGCAATGGCCCGGTATGCTTTCTCTTTGACTTATAGTATGGATCATGATTAACCTCTCTTCCCATGTGTTTTACTCACAGTTTTAACTTCTTTATTTCTTGTGCAAAAGGTGTGTAAAAATCGTGATTGAAAGCCGTGTAAAAGCTGCATGCACCAATTAGCTACAATCGTGTTTGGCTATCTACATGTACATGTATGATTTAATCATGTGAGATTACTCAAGCATCTAGTATGTTTTACATGAGAGATAAAGATGATTTCCACGTGTGTACATGGGAAATTATTGGAGATCTGTGCTAAAGGCTAGTAATAAGAAGTAGTATCAGTTTATATTTACTTGGTACTCAATCTTTTTTTTTTCAGATAGTAGGAAGTTAACATGAAAACAATTCTCTCCTTGAAACTCCTTGAAACTCTTGCAATATGTGAAACTTTGTTTTGTACCTTTTACGCACAGGGTTCCGACAATTGCACCAAGTGCCTGAATGTGAAGGATGGTCCCTTCTGCAAGGCCGAGTGTCCGCCCATGAAATACCCCGATAAAAACGGAGAGTGCCAGCCGTGCCACGAGAACTGTGTCGCCCCAGACAGCAGGTAAGACTGATGCACAGAGACTCTCAAAATTTCTTCTCTTTCTAAGGAAGGGAAGCAAATAAATGGTGTTAGATATTTAAACATTTGCATCTATATTATGACCATTGTCAGTGATACAAGGAAGAGTAATAAGGGAGTTTTGAAATTGATAACTCTTCCAGTCTATGTAAATGGATGTACTGTCACCGTGGCTCTATTGTCATTTTTGTGTCTCCTCACACAGAATCACGACATTACAAATATTATGTGTTTTGTATTTCTATTGTATTATGGAATTGAAACTGCCTTCATCCTCATACCCCAAAATAAAACCACTGCAAAAGTAAAATATTTGATTCATCGACAATAGCTATATTCAGTAGTATGTACATGATTGTTTATACATTGTAGAGAATGAGGTAGGTATTTTGAGTGAAGGACTTAAGTGAAGTGTGATCAGAAATTATCCCACGGAACTCCTTTTATTTACTCCATTCGAAAATTTTTATCATCAAGCGTGTAAGCGGAAGTGTCACATTTGTTGTTGTTTGTTTATGTTACCAGCCTGGACAGCCCGAGATGTGCCGGCCCACAGAACAACGTCAGTGCAGACGGCTGTGTTGCCTGCAAGAAGGCCAGACTCAATAAGAAAAAAAGAGTGGTGAGAACCAACCTCCCTTCTCTTGAAGTCAAGCTTGGTACAAGCTAAGTCAAGCTAAAGTTCAGATTGTCAAATCGTCCCAAAATTTCACACTTTTCTGAAATGTACTGTATTGTAATAGTGTGATCCTGTTAATGTAAAAAAAATGTGTTTCAACTTGACAGATTCTGTGTCTGTACATGTACATGTACTACATTGCATACAATTTGTTTTTTTATCCTCCAAGCTTGAATGTCTGCCCGAGGACCAACAGTGCCCACATGATACATATGAGACGTCGGGAAAAACGTACACCACATTGAATATTGAACAGGTACATGTTAAATTTTGACTTAACTGCACTGTGTGTATGTACACGCACGTATATGTGAAATGTACAATAATTGTTGTAAAAATGAAATATAATAAAATAATTATGGTAAAAATATTAAAGTTTTTGGTAAAAGTTCAGTCTTGAATCTGTGCCATTTACTTTATATTATAATTTTATGTGTATTTTCTATTGATGCTGTTATTGTAATTAGTTTTATTATGTTTATACAGTTTTATTATGTTTTAATCATTAATTTTTTAACTTGCAATGATGTGTCTGTCCTGTCAACCTTTCGACACACTTACTTAATGTGGCAACTTTTCATGGAAGTTTATCTGTGTTGGTAGTAGTCATAGTACAATGCTAAACTTTATTCCATCAAGGGTACGTAAAAAATAAGGATCAAATTTTCAACGACCACTGTTGCTTTCATCAGGATAAGCAATGACAAATCACTTCCGAATGTAACCCGATAGTTACAAACACTTGACCTTATTCAGACAAGACTTTACGGTTACGTGATGTCAGCAATTGGTCAAACATGTCAAACAGTTAATATTGTGATGAAGGTGACAGTGGTCGTTCACCTTTTCATCCTAATTTACCCTTGTGTTGGACTATATAGCAAATTTGATTAATGATAAAGAAAATCATCTGTATACTTAATGTTTGGGGTCATGTGGTGTAACGGTAGTGTCTTCGGCCCGGAACCAAGAGGTCCCGGGTTCAAACCCCACCTTGCCACCGAGCTTGTGCCCTTGGGAAAGGCACTTTACACGACTTTCCTCACTTCACTCGGGTGAAAATGCGTATACCAGAATGATCATTATCATGATCGTGGGCATTGGAAAGAAAACCAAACCAAAACCTAATGATAATCTCTATCCCAGGTGTGTTTCCCGTGTGATGACCAGTGTGACGGCTGCACTGGTGTCGCGCCCACCTCCTGCAAACAGTGCAGATACTTCAAGAGGAGATTCGATAACTACGACACCTGCATATCGGGCTGCTCCAGCAAGGAGTACAACGTGTCCAACACTTGTTACGAGTGTCAGAACTGCAGAGAGGGGTGTACCTACAGGAACGGCAAGGCCTACTGCGACCTCTGTTTCCACTACAAGGTCTACATCAACAAGTCTATCGATGATGTATGTATCTTTCCTATTTTTTAAAAACCTTTATTTGACCTTGAAACTGTACATACATACAAGCTCTTCGGCCTAAGCCGATTTTCAAGAGGTCAGGGTGAGGATGGCAGGGGTCTTAATTCAGATTTCATCGCAAATCCTAACTTTCGAGTCAATCCATTGATCTAAGGTGACATGAATCGAAGTTGAAAAGTAGTTTCAATTTTGTTCAAGAACAAGAATCATGATCAGAATGTTTTTTTTTGCAGGTAAAAACTGCATTTCTGACGGGTGATTTCGCTGTGTTTGTCCAGTGTCCAGCATGACTGCACAACGACATGTACAAATGTACATGTATTGGAGTACTAAATCAATTGACAATTTCATTATATTTTGGTACAACAATGTAATGTAAGGCTTGGAGTTGACGGCGAAATCAGAGTTGCCAAATTTCACAGCATATTCTTGCATTGAAAAGCTGCATTTCTGACGGGCGATTTTGCTGTGTTTGTCCAGTATGACTGCACGGCGAGTGACAGCTGTCCCCCGGGGAAACCGTTCCACGTCCTGGAGAATGATGACCAGGTCTGTGTGGAGAACTGCACGGGGAACACCTACCCCGACTTCAACAAGCAATGTAAGGCCTGCCACAGCGAGTGTGTGGACGGGTGTGTGGATGACACCAGGAGCGGCTGTTTCAGGTGCAGGAGTGTGAAGTACGGGGACGAGTGTCTGGAGGAGTGTCCACAGAGGACCGAGGACAAGGACGGCATCTGTGAACCCATCAACGACTTCTTCATCGGAAGCCTCAGGTAATTACCTTCGCCAAGAAGGTTATGTTTTCAGGGGCGTTCGTGTGTCTGTCTGTTTGTGAACACGATAACTCAAGAAGGCTTTGATGGATTGTTTTAATATTTGGTAGGTGGGTAGGTCTTGATGAGACCTCAAAGTGGTTAGATTATGGGCCCCCTGGCAGCTTGCCATGGTACTGCAGCAGAACTTCCAGTTTTGATATCTTGTGATCTAGACATACTAGGGTCGCCAAATTTACATGGTAGATAGCTCTTGTGCTGGGGATAAAGTGACATGAGTTTGAACCCCCTAGTTATTATCTGTTTTACAGGGCTTGAAAAACTCGCACAGGTCCAATTTAACCTGAAACCTACATGTTTGTACACATTTGTATGTACAGCTGTAGGTGCTGTCTAGAGCCCTGTATTGTCATAGCAGCTTCAGACCCTTTTATTTAGTGTTGTAATAATGCTTTCTTTCTTTCTTGATGTTTTGAATGATGCAAAATGTATGTATACATTTACAAAAGTCTCAAATGACATTGGAGTACTAAATCAATTTCGGTACATTTTGGTACAGAAGTATAATGTAAGGCTTGGAGTTGACAGAGAAATCAGAGTTAGCAAATTTCAAAGTATATTCCAAGCTTACAATGTAAGTGCGTGATTGCCTGCATGAGTAGCTGCACTGATGTTGTTTTGCTAATTGTTTTCAGTGCGCCTGCGAGTAAAGGTCTGCTGGCAGGTATCATCCTTGCCGTGGTGATCCTGCTGCTGGTGATCATCCTGGTGTACACCGTGTACCAGCGCAGACAGCGCAACCGCCGCAGACAGACATGGCGGAAGGTCAAGGAGCTCGGCATCGAAGTGGTGAGAGATAGATACAGTATTTTCTTCAGAACTTGTTTGAAATAGCCATTTTCTGCTTGTATTTCTTGTTGCATATATGGGATGGTCCAAATACTACTGGATAAATAAATAAATCTGGAAGTTCCTGATTCACTACACTCCTTGGATAAGCTGATTTGAACGCTGAAGGGCAGTTACATGTATACTGGCTATACAGATACAGATACAAATCACCTGGATGTAGGCCTGGCAAACCCCCATCTTGTATTAGCCTCACACAACCCGTAGCAAAGCCACATTGCACTAGTATACATGTACAATGTAGCTACATGTACATGTACTTGAAAAAGCATTATGCTTCACATCTGTTGAGGATGACAAGATAACATTTTCCTTTTACGAGTACACTCAATTTGTTGTCTTTTGACCTTCAGCCTGTCAGTGACCTTGAGAACAACCCATATGGACATGAACTTCAACCTTTGACCCCCACTGGAGCGGCTCCTAACCAGGCCTACCTGCGGATTATTAAGGAGACAGAGTTGAAGAGGGGCATGGTGCTGGGGTCAGGTGCCTTCGGAACTGTGTACAAGGTCAGTACTGTATGGACAGTGTTAGTACATGTATGGACAGGGGGCAAAATAGTTGATTTGGTTCTTGCCTTGGAAGAGTTAATATTGACTTACATGTATAATTTGTTAGAAATGTTTTTTATCAGGTTATAAGTAACATAAGAGAATTTTTTACTCATATGCCATGTAAAATTCCAAAACTATACATTTTGCCACAATGTAAAGACTGAGGCATAGTGTTTCAATGGATGTTCAAAGCTCCGTCTACCAGTTGCAATTACAAAGCTAAGATTTTTCTAGCAGCCAGATTTCTTTCAATTATAAAGTTAACTTACAAATGGTAAAACAAAAGAAAAGCAGTAAAGGAGAACAAGACTCTTGGCTTGTCTTTGTTGTATTCTAATAACCTTTTGTGTGTTTTCCTGTTCAGAGTCTGTGGTTCCCAGAGTCGGGAGGGAATGTGAAGATCCCTGTCGCAGTGAAGGTGCTGCGAGAAGGAACAACGCCAGAGGCCAGCAAGGAGCTGCTGGAGGTTTGTGGAATATCATTATCTCCTTCTCTGCAATCTTGTGTTGATGTTACAAAGTGTAAGGTAGATTGTCATCTAGTTCTTACCTATATGCCTTCAAGTACCAGAGTTATCAACCAAGGATTGAGGTGTTCAAGAATTCATTCTTTCCTAGAAATTTCGCAGAGTGGAACTCACTGTCACCAAGTACAGTAGGGGCATTGTCATTAGTTAGCTTTAAACAATGTCTAGAGTTAGAAGTTCAAGGGTTAGGGGTAACAAGTCGATCGGTATAATATAGCCAGCTGCTGCCGAGCCGCGTGCCTGCGAAGCTGGTGTGTTACGCTGAAGGGCGGTTATACCAGCTATACAGATACAGATACAGATATGTACAGTATTCTATTGTTTTTACATGTTGTTTCTCTGTCCTCAAACACAGGAAGCCTATGTGATGGCCACAGTGGACCACCCTTGTCTGGTGCGACTGTTGGGCGTGTGTCTGGCCCAGCAGACCATGCTGGTGACACAGTTCATGCCTCTGGGAGATCTGCTGAAGTACGTGCTGCAGAACAAGGACAACGTTGGGTCACAGGTGCTGCTGAACTGGTGCACACAGATCGCCATGGTAACTCATCTCCTTTTCTAGCTAGTGGCTAAGGGATTTGTATGGTAAAAAATAAATGTTCTATCTGTGAAGGAAAAACAATTGTCAGTATAAGGTTAATGTCTAGAAATATAAATCTGCCAGGTAACATAAGACTACAGTTAAAAGAAGTCTTAACAAGAATGTCTGAAGTTTTCAACTATCTCTTGAATACCTGAATGTCTGTACATCTCTTTAGATTAACCTTTTTTAAGGTACATACATAAAAGAAAAGAAAAAAAAAACTTTTGTGATGGCCTATTGTCTTATGTATTGACCTTTTGTAGCCAGAGGAGTATGATTGAATGAGGTACAAGACAATGAAAATTTGCTGTTTGTTTGTGATGTACAGGGAATGTTGTACCTGGAAGAAAAGAGGCTTGTTCACCGTGATCTGGCTGCAAGAAATGTTCTAGGTGAGATTTTTAATGTACTTTCTTCACATCTGTACATATACAGATGCTGTAAATCCACTCTTTCTTTGTATGTTGCTGACTATGTTTAGTACATGTAAGGTTAATAGAATACATTCTACATTCTTTTTATACATGAAGTCTTGATTCTGTCTCTATGCAGTGAAAACTCCAAACCAGGTGAAAATCACTGATTTTGGACTGGCCAAGTTGCTGGATATTGACGAGGAAGAATACTATGCTGAGGGTGGAAAGGTAAGCTAATATAACATTTCCTTATTACGAAAGGTACTACTAATGCTAATTTGAGTTTGATGCCTTTTTTGACATAGAAACTAGTACTTTTGACTAGTGGCATTGAATGGCCAAGTGTCTTGGCTAGTACGTAGGGGGTATAGTGGATATTGTACATGTATTTAGAAGTCATGGGTTCAGTCCCTGGATAGACATTGTGTCTTTGTGGGATAGGCACTTAACATGACTTACATGTATTTCACACCACCCAGGTGTAAAATGGATACCTGACTTTGGTGGGGGAGGTAGAGGGAGAGGATTGGGCTCTGGATCATTAACCTACTGCCCCTACAGCCTCAAAAGAAGGCTAAGAGACTACCTTAATGTTAAGTTTTACTTTTGACTAAGCAGTTTATCCTTTGTTGCCAGATGCCCATTAAGTGGTTGGCGCTGGAGTGTATCCAGTACAGAAAGTTCACTCACCAGAGTGATGTGTGGAGTTTTGGTGAGTGAAATGATCTTTGTCAGTTCATTTGTTGTGATAGGTACAACATTTTAAGTCAGTCTTGTTACCACGGTAGAGACTTCTTGCTAAATGCAGATGTTATGTTACAGGAAAAGTTGTTTCAGAACTGCTAAAACTAACTGAAATATGCAAGGTCTTCTCTAAGTTACAGAGTGAATACAGCTATCTTCAAATATTCGTCCCTGCTCTCTGATTTCATTTCATTTCCCAACAGTTTATAATCCGAGAATTAACAGATTGAATTGGTGTGGTCTAACCTATACAGACGATGTAAATACAAGACAGTTCAGCCTTCAAAGATTTCAACAGCAATGTCTGATTTTTCTTGCCTGTTCTTTAGGAGTGACAATTTGGGAGTTGATGACGTTTGGAGGGAAGCCGTACGACGGTGTACGAGCCAGGGACGTACCTGACCTGCTGGAGAGAGGAGAGAGACTTCCCCAGCCTCCCATCTGTACACTCGACCTCTACATGGTCATGGTCAAGTGTGAGTACAACTGTTATACCCCAGTTTGATTTTTCTAGAGTTAACCTACAGTCTAGTGAAGTGTATGAGGACCATCAAGGCATTGTTGCCACTTTTTTGTTGGTCCTTTAGATTATTTTTCCCATGAACCCAAGCATGAAGATTCCTGTCAATAGTGGGTCACCTATCTACTGTGACCATGTTATACAAGTCCCTTGCATAACCAGTATGAAAAGTTTAACTGTAACTAGTTCATTTTGCCATGGTTTAGTGGTTTTTGTTTGACTGTATATTTGCTTCCCCCAGGCTGGTTATTGGATGCCGATGCCAGGCCCAACTTTGGAGAGTTAGTGGACACTTTCCACAAACTGGCAGCTGATCCCTCCAGATACATTGTAATCCAGGTCAGTATATGTTTATTAAGTATGATTATTGAACTATAGAAAAATTACTGCTGACTGTCAACACACAAAACCTCACAGTACCTTGCTTTAACCTCTATGCAAAGTCTGTTTTTATGTGAGCCATCTCAGACTATTTCCTTTTACTCCCACATTTCTTTACTGTTGAGACAAGTTCAGAACTTTTCTTGCCAAAAAGCCTTATTGCTTGTTCTGTAAGTTACTTGCTTGTTTAAAAAGGTTTATACAGAAATGTGATAGGAATAAGGAGGGAAGAAACTTTTTTGGGGGTTTTGCTTTGTCCTGTTCTGTTTTGAGAATAACAAATCCATGGAACAATCAGTTTATTCTGCTTAAATATTTTTTTAAGCATGCTGATATCTTTCTGATCATATCTATGCGTGCAGATCTTTCACAGATTCTGTCTTCTCTCTCTCTTCCTCTACTGAACATGCCTGGCCCTATAGCGCAGGAAGCTACATGTAGACACGGTACTGGTCTCTACATCTTCTTGTGGTGACTGTGCCGTATAGATCACATGTTACTTGATGTCTACTGCACCTTTGCATTCTTTATTCTCCTCTCTGATTCTTGGCAATTTTATCATGGCATAGAATAAACCCAATCACTTGATCTAGACATTTAGTGTGAATATAGGTTACTTTCAAATACTCAACAAATTTGTCTGCTAGATATGTACGAAATAAGATGACAGAAGGCTATACAAATGTCATTTTTCATTCTTGGATTCAAAAGATGAAAAATGCCAAACTGGAAAGCCAAGATGAAAACATGCTTTTAGAAGGAAATACAGTACTCTCTAACCTTTAGCACACTGAAGTAGCCATTTGACTACCAATTCTCTAGTGGTTACTGGGTTAGGCAGCAGGGAGAAGGTTAAGAGAGTACAGTCAGTCTGAATATGGTCAGATGCTAGTTTTCCTCTCAGCCCTCAAACTCTGTTAAAGAAATGAATGGTGGCTGAAGTTTTACTGAAGAGGTTTCAAAAGTAGCCTCTGTAGCAGGCCAAAAACTGGGGGTCTTTGGGAGCTTTTATGTGCTTTTTTTGATTGCATATAGACAACATAGCCGGCCTGGGCTAATCAGAAAACAGCCGAAGACCACCAAATTCCCAGTTCTATAAGCCTGCTACGGTGGCTAGTTTCAAAAGGCCTGTTGCTACCTGGCATGGCATGTATTTGAAAGTTAATGTTTGCCTTCATCCCAACAGGGCGACGATCGTATGAAGCTTCCGAGCCCGACAGAGAATAAGATCTTCGAGCTGCTGAGTGACGAGGAGGACCTGGAGGGTCTGATGGATGCGGAGGACTACCTGTTGCCTTCCCAGATGTCCCGGAGCCACCAGGGCAGTCTGGGCTCCCTCAACAACCAACCAACAGGCTATTCTCCCATGCACTCTGTCAACAATGTCAAGGTATATACATTGTACTCAACTGTCTCTTTAAGGGACAAATTTCAGTTTTGGTGCCTTTCAACCCAAAATCCTATTTGCAAAAGGCGATCCATTGGTTTGTACTTTGTAGCAGTCCCGCACACATAGGGGTGATAGTTGACCAAAATCCATGTTCACATTTGATGACTGCTTATTCTATTCTAGACATACAGAGGTCAACTTTGCTTAGAAAATGGCAATAGGTACAGGCACATTTGTACAAGTGACCTTACAGTCACTTGATAAAATGACAGTAATTACAAGTGGTTTTTTAAATCTTCCCACAGGACAAAGATCGCTATGTCCCTCCGTCACTTGACAAACGGGTTCTCTTCCAGGTATGATTCAGGAAAAAAAGGTTTTTGGTGTGGGACAAAGCACTAACTGCTTTCAGGTGTTGGTACTGGCACATACTACAGGTGGTGCAGTTCTCTTGAGTGGTGATAGGTGGTGTTTTTGTGTAGTATACATTACGCATATGTTTTATGTACTTGTTCTTACATGAACATGTAAAAGCATACATAACTGCAGTGTTCAAACAGGCTTACTGCTTGGGATTTAAGGACTACAGACTTTCCACCCTGCTAACCTGAAAATGCCTATCCCTGCCATTATCCCTACCCAAACTATATTTCCTCTTGCACATGTGATGTTAGGTTGTTGTAGCAGAAGAAGTGAAGTTTAAGTACCATCTCTGTGATTTGTTGCAGCACTCAGACCAAAGCTTAGATGACCATGAGTATGACAACGAGAGAGAGATGAGGAGGGGCGCAGGTCCGCCGAACGGGCCCAAGAAGTCGCTCAAGGGGAATGGAAAGATGAACGGAAACCCGCCAGCTAGAGATGCCAGTCTTAGATACAGTGCTGATCCCACCATTTTCTTCGCCAAAGGTAAAGACATCATCTTTTCCCCACTAAGATGATATTCATTGTAGACTTCATTCATTTGAGGAAGAACAATACTTGACTGCCATCTGCAGATTTGTAGAGTATGTTTCAGGATATTTTGTCTTATGTGCAATACTTATTAAAAAAGTGAACATGTTCTGTGATTTAGGTGATACAAAACCAAAACCTCTTGAGACACCACCAGCACTCCCAAAAAAAGTGCGGAAGAAAAGTTCCAAGACAAGTGCCAGTATGTTAAAAAGTTTCTGCATAATTTGTGATAAAATCCTACTATCTGCTTGGGCAAAGGACCTGCTTGGTGGAGAAAGGTTTTGGCAAACTTGAAAGGACTTCCTGCTTTTTAAGGTGTTGCTGAAGTGGACAAAATCAGCCTAAGTCTTTTTGTAATATATGGTGTATTACTGTGTTTGCTTTTGAGTTGACTGTTGCGTTTAACAGCTGCTACAGGTTTGCAAAGGTTTGCTACATACAGATGGTCTCAGAAAAGCTACACAGCCATATTCACACCCAAGATGCAATGGAAGGATTTTGTATAGATCACACATTTTGATACTGTATCTTAACCTTTAGAACACTAACAGTATAGTAATAGTTTGGCTACCAATTCTCTATCTAATTATTCAGTTACGGGGTTAGGCAGCTGGGAGAAGGTTAAGCAAAGAGAGGTCATGAGATGGAATTTGTTGTGACCTTAGTTAACCTTGAATCTGCCCTTTCCAGGCGATCAGACCGCCCACGCAGATAGACAGTCTACGGAGAAGTACGTCCCGCCCGGATCACGACCCTCCTCAATAGAGGGGCAGTCCCAGTCTCCGCGACACTCCTCCATTGAAGGAGCGTCCCGGTCCGCAAGTTATCACTCGCTCACTCCAGCCGACCAGAACGATGAAGGTAGGGTCAAGAGAACAGAACTCGGTGTTAGAAACCCTGGGCATACAGTTCTTCTCTTACTATGTACAATAGGAGGCAAATCAAAGATGATAAACATTTAGCAAGTTAGAATTGTAGGCAAGCCATGTTTCATCCCTTTCATTTAATTTCTACCATTAATGAGCTACCTACTCTCTTGCAAATGCTTTACTAGATTTCATGCGATACAACATTAATATGTGATCATAACTGAGTCAGTACTTGTAGCAGTCACTCACCAGACTTTCTATCTGTTTAGACTTGTCTACTGATGATTTTGCTCTGTATTTAATTTATCTTTACTCCAACACTGTCATGGAGCTTTTACCCTCAGTGATTCATAGTCATAATTTTTTGCATGTGTGTAGTAGAATCATAATTTCATGCGTAGAAGTAGAGCTATGCTTTAATCATTCTCTGCATAATCATAATTCTTCTGTCACGTACCATAACGGAATCAAGGCTCTGTCTCTACTTGCACCTCTCTCCCTATAGGTGGATATATAACAGTTATAGCCTAGAACTTCTTCTTAGAGAAGGCCTCTATCTTGCCGAGCGGTGGTGGAAATATGGTGAACGTAGGTGCTGCCCCCTTGTCTGCATGTGATACTAGAGTTTTCTCAGTGTCAGGAAGTCAGATCATCCAGGAAGGTTTTAAGCTTTATCATCACATGTTTGGTTTT